TTGACTAGCATAAAAACTTATTTAAGAAAGTTTACACTAAAGAAAATAAATAAATTTTTTGTTGGTCAAAATTGAAGTAATATGTTACTTTAGAAAGCAAATTATAAATTTGAAAAACAAAATGTCACTTAACTATGAGTTGGACTGACTTCTAAACTTAGTCAACGTATTCGAAATCAAAAATGGAGGCAAATGTGAAAAGGAAGATAAAATGTTAGAAGACTTTTCCAGGCTGCTATAATAGAGTCTCTTGATAATGATGGTATAAAAGGGAAAATTGCATTAGCAGTCCCTGACATTTCATTTTCTGTAGACTTTATCATAATTTTTACTTTGTGTTAGTCACAGTCCTAAACCTTTTAAAAATATGCATTTGAGGTCTAAATGGATTGAAACCATCTATTCCACCATCAGTTGACTGAAAAATGCAAAAATTGAATATTTTGACCATTTTAACTACGAGCATTTTTGTAAATCTCATATTTCTCCTTTTAATGAAAAGAAAAGAAAGAAATAATAAATGAAAATCACTATTCACCTCCTTCACTCACCCACCCCCACCCCAACTATACCAAGCAAGAAATCAACCCACGCATCGTCGTCGCTACAACTACCACCACGACCGTCATCATCAAACCAAAACCAATCACCGCCGTCGTCACCGCCACCATCAAACCTTAGCCAAAACCAAAACTTCATCCTGCAAAACCAAAACAAACCTCTCCAACTTCTCGCCTAGATCCCAACCCTAGGCCCTCCCTACGGGAGAAACGACGTCGTCATAGGTAAATCTTCATCAATATGATATCAACGTCCACCTCTCGCCTCCGTGTCCTCCATCCACACCCAAAACAAACCACCATTGAACTTCCCAACTCACCTTCCATTAGCAACACCGTAAACTCAAGTCCTCTCCAGACCTCGACAATCAGGTTAATATAGAGGCCCTTATTTGCAGTCTCCACTACTTTTGGAGCTTCAAATAGCAACAAAGACCCAATAGAACCTAGATTCTCCCCGATACTCACAAGACTTCTAAAGGGTTTCTCATCCTTCACTATAAACACAATAGTTACTCTAGATCCCTCATTTGCACCGGCAAAAATGGGTACCAAATATTGACTTTTTTTGAAGGGTCTCAGAGGAAAATCAGGTTTGTAGAATTGAAAAAAACCAGTTTTCACTCCCTAATTGATTTTCGAATTTCTACAAAACCAGATTTGGCAAAGTATCAGCAAAATATTGGACCTTTGTAACTAGAAACGACGTGGATAGAAATTAAAAACCAAGTGTAGGTAGAGGAGAAAATGTAGTGGGCTTCGGAGAGAAGAGAGAGTGGCTGCGTCGCGACCGTCATTGACAAGGAGAAAAAGAGGGGTACTTTTAAAATTGACCTAGTCAAAGGTCCTTATTTCCACTTTGATTTTTAAAAACTTGAAAATTATTACATTAACCTCTTGAATGGTAAAAGGCAGAGATGCTCTTAAATATATTATATAATTACAAAATATTGGACAGTTTAAAAGACATTATTACCCTTTTAGTTAATAATTGAAAATTAAACACTTCTCCACTTATAAAACTGCAGAACAAGTTTCGAATACAGAAAAACTCTCATTTTTCATCTGCATGAACTTCAAAATATCAAAAGACTTTCAAACACGAAGCCAGAATTTGTTTCAAATCAATTACTTCAAATTGATAAGTATATTTTTACACATGCTTAATTTTGATTTCAGTAAATTAGTGTACGTTTGAGTAGTTAAATAACACAGTAGTTACTAGAATTTTTTTTAACAGATCTATAATTTTTTTCTTTAGAACCATAAAAAAATAAAAAGTCATACGCAAAATAAACAGTCCGGTGATTAACTGTGGGATGTTAACGAAGATTATTAGACGACAGACAGCCGACTGTCAAAAGACTGTCTAACAGCCGGCTGTTAGACGATTTTCTAACAGTCGATCGACGGTTGTTAAACAGTCGACTGTCTAACAACCAACCGACAGTCAGCTGTAAAATAGTCCATAGTCGGCTGTTTTACGAATTTTTTTTAGTATTAATTTATATTTTGGCAATTGTCTTATAATTTTAATTACAAGTTGATTAAATAAATAAATATCTAAATTTTTGTTGTTGTAATTGATTTAAAAATTCTATATCGTCATGCAGATATGATAATCCCGGTCTGTTATTTCGGTGATTTTGAACTGAATGAAAATAATAGATGGGAATGAAGATGGACGAGTAATGTATGTGGTTGTATTGAAATTCCCATAACAGAGAGTGCATCATATGCGAAAGTGTACTAGGATTTGTAAAATAAGCTGAATGTCGATTCTTCTCAGTACGATATGCAACTGAGATATTTATTCAACGGTTATGGGGATTCGTCCATTCCGATACCACATATATTTGTTACTAATGATGCTGAATTGAATTATCTATTAGAATTGAATAAAATGCATAGGACTCGGACTGTTCTTGAATTATTTAGTTAAGAAGGATGTTGTCGAAGGTGAACGCGAAAATTCAGATTGAGAGGATAATAATGACCGAGATTTTTGGGAGACAGTGGAGATAGTTCCTACAGATGATGTGGTTATTTTCGAGACAGTTGTTACTAATCGTGAAGTCATTATTACGCATAGAATTCCATCGACATTTGAGGACAACGAAAATATAAATAATTTCACAAATGAAAATTTAATTGCTTTATCCCGACAGAGACTTGAGCGGAGTGGGAGCTCAGGGGGTGGAACAAGTGAACCGTCCTCCAATTCTTCGCATGTGGTTCCCGATGATGAGGATTTGTATGTCGAGCAACTATTTGAAACCAAGAAAGATTTGCAGGAAACTATGCACCGGATGACATTAAAATATAACTTTGAGTTCAAGGTAAAGAAATCAACCAAATCATTGTTGACAGTTGCCTGCATTGACGACAATTGCAATTGGCGCTTGAGAGCGACTAAGATGGACACGAATGAGTGCTTTGTAGTTCGCAAATATGCAAGGGAACATACTTGCGAAGTGAGAATTTGTCGAAATGATCATAGTCAAGCTCGAGCATGGTTGATTGGTCCACAAATAATGCACAAGTATCAGGACCCACGGATGATCTGCAGACCTTCGGACATCATTAACGACGTCCGTCTACTGTTAACAGTCTTGGGCGACTATTAACAATCAGCCCAATTAATAAAAATATATATGAAATTTAAAAATTAAATAATTATTCAAAATTACAATGACAAGAATTAATGAAATTCGATTAACAAAAAGAATATTATTTATAAAAAAACTATTAATAAAAATAAAAACGAAATTTAAAATTAAATAATTATTCAAAATTACAATGATAAGAATTTATGAAATTCGATTAACGAAAAAAATATTATTTATAAAAAAATATTAATAAAACTAAATATGAAATTTAAATTTAAAATTAAAAGAATTATTAAATATTACAATTATAAAAATTAATTAAATTCGAGGATGAAAAATTATTATTTATCAAAAATGAGGAAATAAAAAAAATATTCAAATTAAAATTAAAATTAAATATTTTATTTAAATTTTACAAATAAATAAATTATTATTTATTAAAAACTAATAATTAAAATTATTTAAAATGAAATTCTTAAATATATGTAAGAAAAAAATAAAGGCAGAGAGCCGACTGTAACAACTGGCCCGCTTAAGTCAATGGGGGTGACTAAACAGTCGGCTCATTATTATGGGCCGACTGTTAAGCAGCCCAAATTTTAAAAAAAAATTGTTATTGTAGTCGGCCCACTTAATAGTCAGTCAGCCCGTGAAAAAACAAAAAAAGTCATGGGCTGACTGTTGGGCCAATCAGCTGTTAACAGTCGGGTACCCGACTATTAAGAGCTGGGTTTTCCCCAAAATGTCGACTGCAAATGCAGTCGCATTTTTTCAGCTTTTCTCGTCAGAAAATCTCCATTTCCGACGAGAAAAGTTTGCAAATCTCAAAATCCACATATTATTTTCCAATTTAGACCCATATTCATACTTCTACACCTACCTATCAAATAATACATTCCAAGAACCTCCACAAATCAACATTCTCACACAATATGAAAATCTAAACATTAATCTAATTAATTAACAACTCGAAACTTACCTTAACAAGAATATGGTCGCCGGAGATGAACTGAAAATGTCTATCGACTGGAAATCGATCGTAGCTTTTCCTTGGTTTTGGCCGACTGTAAGCAAATGGGAAAGTGGCCGTCTGAGGGTATTTTGGAATTTTGACCTTTAAAATCAATTTTCATTTTTTTCTTTAAAAACTGGTCAAATGTTACTTTGGAAATACACATGGGTTATTGGGTCATTTTCAATGATTTCCTCAGAAAAAGAAGGTGATGAAGATTGTGGGTGTGGTTGGGGCAGATTTCTTTTCATTTTTTGTTTTTAATTTAATTGTTCTGATTATTAATAACATTTGAAAAAATATAAATATAACATTTTACCCTTTTTAGTTTTGTAAAAATTGGTCAAGTTTTTATTTTCCTGGCCAACTAACGGTCTAATATATTTTTGAAAGGTTTGGGACTATGGATGGCACAAAGTGAATGTTAGGATAAATTGCAAAAAAAAGTGAAAAGTTAGGGGTCGCTATTACAATTTTTCCTATAAAAATGATGGAATTTCAAACTTTTGTGGTCCCAAAGCTTGTTTTTCTATGTAAAGAGACAAGAATTACAAAAGTTTAATTTGAACTTACTTGGACTCAAGTTTCCTGGATTTTTGTATTTACTTTGAAAGTTGAATAAGTTATGTAGAATAGTGTCTAAAGCTGATTTTGAACTCTGTGAAAATTAAAGCTTAATTGATTTATTTTAAGCAATGAATGATTTAAAAATTATTATTTTCAAGAACTAGTTCCTTTAGGTGGACATATGACAACGGGCCTAGATCACATGATACATAATCTTTCATCTCTAAATAACATCAAACATAGATGATAGATGCATATATACATTCAACTTTCTACTGATAAATAATTGAGAGAGAGAGAGAGGTCTTCCATCTTCATCTCTAGGGCTTTATTGTTTTTGTTTATTTCCATTTGGAGTATTTAGGCTTGAAATAAATATCATTCTTGAAGGATTTTCATGTTAAGATTGGTTAAACCTCTTATATTTAGAAGATTTATCATTTAAGCATGTCTAGCGAAAGGAATATAGAAGAGGACTAGAGTTCATTTTCTTGTACTCCAGGGAGCCCTAATTCCAGTTCTTAATAACATATGTACAGATTGATTATAGAAGGTATATACGAGAAAAAGTTCGAAGTCGAGCTGATAAAGATGAAGGGAAGTGATGAAACTGAATATTCTAAGACAAGCCCTTTGGAGAGAAATGATGAAGAGGAAGAAAGTGAAGCGAAAAACGAAGCCTGCAACCTTAGAGATGGAGGAAGTTCAAGCAACAGCACAGTCGAAGAGGGTGAGAAGAATACATTGGTAAGGCCTTATGTTAGATCTAAGATGCCTAGACTCCGGTGGACGTCTGATCTTCATCTTCGCTTTGTTAATGCTGTGGAAAGACTTGGAGGACAAGATAGTAAGTACCAAATGAACTCCATCAGAGGAGTAAAATTGGTGATGATAGTTTATTTTTGATTAATTTATAGATCTAATAGATTTTATTTAATTGACTGTTTTTCTTGATTAATTTGGTGCAGAAGCAACTCCAAAATTAGTGCTTCAATTGATGAATATCAAAGAACTAAAAATTGCTCATGTCAAGAGTCATTTACAGGTAGGTGACATTTGAAGAATGTATAATTATTGAAATCAAGGCATATTTGCACCTAAAGAGATCAATTAATGACCAATATTTTGTACCCTTAATATTTTAAATTTTGTTTAAACAGATGTATAGAAGCAAGAAAATTGATGAGCCCAACCAATGTATGCTTTTTCTTCATTTCTCTATTCATTTATCTTTATTCGACACAATTAGGGTTTTCAATATTGGAATCATATGCAATTCGTCGCATTACAGGGGTGGCAGATCACCGGCTTTTTATGGGAGGCGAAGACAAGAATATCTACAGTCTAAGCCAACTTCCTCTTCATTCTACCATCAGGTACATAGATAATGTTTGAAATTCATACAAAAATCCTTCTTCTTTTATTAAGTTTCTTGGAGTTTAGTCTCTGACGAATAAATTCCGAATTGATCTTTCTCAAGATTTGGAGATTCTTCTCTGCATAATTATGGAAAATGGATACGTAATTATACTATAAGGCAGAATCCAATTGGTGAGAGGATCTTGGGCTGCGGCGGCCAATATAGGTCAGTAAATGATAAAATTTGCCGCAGCATTTCTTGTTCCAATGAAATATCCACTCAGAAGACCGACAAATTTGGGTCGCTTAACGGGCATGAATCCACGCTAGGCCGATCTAGACAAAACCCCATTGAGCAAACCATGAATCTCCAAAGGCAGACTATGGTAAAAAGGAAGGCGTCGGAGTGGGGAGTCGACTTGAATTTATCACTCGGGGTTGAACTACGGAAGGATGATCAAATGCAGCAAGGTTTACAGGATGATGAAAACATCTTGTCATTATCATTGTACACTGATCCATCCTACTCGAAGTTTAAGAAGTTGAAAGAAGATGAGAGTACTAAAATTGCAGGAGGGACAAGTACTCTGGATCTGACTCTATGAATTAGGGAAATTCTAAGTGAGATCTTGAGGTACTTGTTTTCTAAAGAAAATGCATTAATTCTTCTTATTGTCTTTTAGAATCAATGTAATGTAACAAGTACTGTACTTATGTGACATGTTTGGTGAGGTCAACTAGACAATACTTGGACAATATTGTAAAAGAAAAAGTTACAAATTCTCCATTTTATCGTCCAACATTATGTACCAAATTTGCCCATGATCTTTATGTGAACGGTTCGAATTGTCCGTGTCTTACCAAGATCTAGCTGCTTTTATTATAAGATGGTCAGTTTTGAGTGCAAGTTTTACTTTATATCAAATATATTTATGATGATGATTTAGAAATATCAAATACTTGGATGAAATAGAATTTGCTGTAAATTTAAGCCTATTAGGAGACGAAAGTTTTTAGGACAGGTTAGTTATATTGGAGTACTAGACATAAATTGAATAAATAAATACATATGACAAAATTTATAAATTATTCTATTCAATTCAATCCACTAAACATGCACCATGGTTTTCTGTCAAGCATACATATATGATATATAGCTTCTGAGGTTGCATATAATCAAATGTGAACCATGTCCACAAGTCATTTGATTACCTTGTACTAAATTGACTAATGTGTACATATAACTGCCAATGTATGGAAAATTCAATTTCAGAAGTATCATATAGTTTGTCCAAAAGATCTAGTGGCCACATGCACTAATGCCCTAGCTAGGCTGCAAGTTAATAGGGTAATAATTCAAGTAGCACTAACTTTTATAAATGCAAGGGATTGTGTGATTGCATGCTTGAAGATTTCTCGACTTTAATAGATTCCCTACAATGATTAAGTCCTTATAGAAAATGAAGATGGTAGTATTGATAAATTGAAGATTTAAAGTACTATGGCTCGATTCTTGTTCTTAGAGTTGAGTCACCTTGGTCGAGGTGCATCATTATGGAGTTTGTTAAAGAGGGTATAATCTTACAGGCTTAAGTTCTACAAGACACCAACATTGGGATGCTGTCTCCTCTGCAATATTTAGGCAAATTGTTGCCTGCCCCTTCTACTATATAGGAGTTTAGCCTTTCTTTTTTTTGGATAAGGGAGTTTAGCCTTTCCTTTAGAAAGACCTTCTCCTTCGGCATTTTAACCTCATCTAGAGCAACGCTATGTCCACCAGCTTGAACTAAAGGACATATGCCAGCTTTTAGAAAAAATCCATATCTACCCCCACAGACAATTATGATTTATTCGAAAGAAATTCTTAATAGTTATATCCAATCACACAATGGAACCGTAGATAGTGAAGTGAAATCCAATCCAGGAAATAATTTGATCTACGAAGATGAACAGGCAATGTGATTTGCCGAAGCCGTGGGATGAAAAAAATACATATACAGAGGAGGCTCGAACTGCTCTTGTGCTTTGGGATTCATACTTGTCTGTGAGGTGGATATGAAATTTTTCTTTAAGCTGGCGGTTACAAATATGGTTTGTGCCTTTATCATTTTGTTTTGATTCATTTCAAGCCAACAAGTTTCATCTCACTTTTAGCAGGATTTCAAATGCTCATCAAGTTCAATTGCTGATGTATGAAATTGAAAACTCTTTGATTTGTGCATGATACTGAAATATATAACTCATAAAAAGAATTAGTATTGTAATTCAATCATCCCAAGGATTGGGAAGCATTCGTGGTTCTCCTATAGTTGGAACCTCCAGAACAATAAGAATCCTTAGTTAGAATGGGGGACGAGCACCATGGACACAGCCCTGAAACAGCCCATTCACGTTACAAAATTTTGAAAATAGCCACATTTTTATCATAAAAATTGAAATAAATATATAAATAAACCAAAATAAATACCCAACGAAGGGTTATTATTATATCATGCAAGAGTCAATCTTGTCGCCATGTAGGTTCAATTAAAAAAGGCTGAAAAAACGAAAAGGAACAGAGGCAGCACAAAAAAAAATTTGTTGGTCGCTGAAAACATTTAGCGACCAAATAATTGTGGTCAGTGAGTGGTTGCTAATTCATCGCCAGTGAAGATCTTATATGGCCAGTACAGCATGGTCACTAAACATAACATGTAATATTCAACGACCAAATCGCTAACGGCATCCACATCCCATCCCTCGTTGCCATCGTCTATTAATGGGAGAATGAGTAATGATACAATATATCCCTTGTTTGATAATCATTATTATCAAAATACATTTTTCTCGTTCGTCTTTTTAATCACATATTTTTCAATAAAATGATATTATAAGGAAATATAAAATTTTTCCTTATTTTTTAACCATACAATCTTCATCAATCTATTATATCAAAATGTATTCTATAAAGAAAAAGAAAAAAATTGGGGTCAAACAGGCCTATAATCTCCTTGTAGTGATATTGTATGTAAGAGCAAAGTCTATGTAGTCATATAAATTTTCTATCACAATTTGGATCATTTACGAATAAGAATAAAGTCCACATCGTGATAAGCTATAGTTTTTCTAGGTAATTACCTCCATATAGTAATACTATTTCTACATTGCAAACTATATTACGTTAAATGTTTTAAAATGAAATAAAATAATTATCTAAATTTTATACTTTAAAATGATTTTACATATTCTCAACATCACGTACATGTATTAGTTTTTTTAAACTGTCTTTGTCTTTTATCAATATTGAATTTGAAATGCTCATTTAATTAATTATTAATACATTGCATATTTTATTTTTATACCATTTGCACTTTGGATAATTAAGTCAAAAAAAATTTAATTTTTGCATCTACAAATCTATTAATTTATAACCTTTAATATTATGTAATTATAAAATAATTTTGACCCAAGCATTATGGTTATATAGATTTTACTGAAAAATGTATAACTTTCCAACAAAAAAAATAAAATAAAATAAATAAATAAATAAATATATATATATATATATATATGAAACAATACGTAAGTCATAAAATGCCACAGATTTCGATAAACCAGATTTCTTAAAATGTGATATAATGAAAAGAGAATCTAGTTAAATGTTTGCCGATACATTGTTTGGTTAATTTAATTAAGACACTCGGCTACATACATTTTATTTTAAAAAATAGTATTCTTCATCGTTAATTGTGATCATTATTGATGTTAACAGATTAACCGACAGGTATACACTCTGATACCACTTGTCAAGGTTTAAACTAGTATGATAATATGACAATACAAAACACCACAAGTAGAAAATGAGAATTCTATTAATATAAATAATGGAGGTTTACAAATTATTATGTAGAATATAAAAACTGACTCAATATATATAATACATCATATAAAAGCACTGATGCTTAACTTACGTTAAGCATCGATGACATGACACATAATTTAATTGGTGAATAAATTAATGATAGGTCCCATGTATTTAATGATTCACCAATTAAATAATATATCATATCATCAGTGCTTAACTTATGTTAAACACCGATGTTTAGGAGATCATTCCTATATATAGATAAACATATTAGGAATATAATATAATGAAAAGTTTATTACAAGACAAGGTCTCAATACAATGGGAAAAACCAACAATGAAATATTTAGGATGATAGAGGAGTCAAAAACTACCAAAAATGTGAACAAAGTATTCCTCGAATGAGATCTCGCTCAAACAATGACGGGCCACCTCATGGTAAGCAAGTGTTGGTGCTCCTATTTTGAGCACTCGAGTCGGATCGAGGTGCCAGGCGAGCGCCAATTCAACATTTGCTTCTCCAATTGCAAGTTGAACTCCTTCAAAACCTCTTCAAATCTACTAGCTACCAACTCCCAAATTGAATTCCAACTTAAATTTTTACATAGTCTTCGACTAGAATTCCTAACTGGATTTCAAATAGAATTCATAAGTAGTCTTCCAAATAAAAATCAAGTCACACTCTAATTCTAACAAACTCCACCTTGACACGAATTCCTCTACAATGAACAAAATTTCAAAAATTCTCCACACAAAGATAAATTTTACTGCAAGAAATAAAACTTAACTCTTCAACCGAAAATTCTCTACAAAAGAAAAATAATCCTCCAACTAAAAAAATTCTCCACCTCTTTCACAAAATCAGGTAAACTCAATAATTGAAAAAGTCAATTGAATCCAAGCATTGTTAAACAGAATTAACTTTGGCACTAATATTGCTCAAATTATCCTCATGAGTAATAAAATCACAAATAATTTAACATTTTCCAAACATGGCAGAAACATACACTATATCATAATCAACACAAAATGCTTATAGAGAAGCTATTTTTGCCAGACCTAACACCTTCGACTGCACTTAAACCATAAACAAAATAAGCAGCTTTACTGTACCTTTGTGGAGTCCCAATATCTATTCTGGATTTGTCTCTAGCAATTGAATACAATGACACTATTAGTGATGGTGACAAAGTGACATTACCTTTGACTTTTGAACTCAACTAAGATGTATTATTTAATATAAATCCAAAGTCAAACTCCAACGTTAATTAACCAAACTCAAAATTCACTTGAGTCCTTAACTTCAGTTGATTAACATTCAAAGATTCTATGGAACAAAGCAAGATATATAATTGAGACATTTTCTATCCCTTCAACATAATGCATGCACCTTTATTAACCTTCAAGACTCCACCTGTACAAGTATACATGTGCCTTTTTAATCAAGAGTACTCGAATAGATCAGATTTCTCTTCAATCAGGAACACGTCTCACAACATCTAGTATTTTCACAATTTCATCAAAGATATTAATTTTAACCCTTCCAATACCAGCTATCTTACAAAGTGAATTATTTCTTATTACCACAACGCCTTTGAAAACTATTTCATATGTTGAGAACAAATATTGATTAGGATACATATGGAGCCTATTTGGGAATGATTTTGAGAATTGATTTTTTAACCGTTAGGAAAAAAGTGGGGTCCACCTGTGAGAGAAGAAGTCAAATATGATGACTGGAATAGTGAAATAACGTTCAAAAAATCAATTTTTTGGGTGAAAAAATCGAGCCCAAACAGGGCCATGATAAGTGTAAGCTTTATCAAGAATTCAATTCTCATCAATTTCGATGTCGTCATCAGAAATAGTCAAAAGTTATCCATCATTATACCTATCTTCTGCAATACTGACTTTATCTGAAGTTACTGATTATTTTCCTTCTAATTTGCAGCATCTGATCATTCTTATTTTGCAATTTATAACAATCATTATTAATGCGTCCTCATTTCTTGCAATAATTAATATTTTATTACTATAATTAG